CTGAGAGTCCCATCACTGACTAGCCGAGAGTTCGAGCACTCACCACATCATTCATCATCACTCACCAGCCGAGAGTCCAAGTACTCACCAGTTCCGACCGCGTCATTTCCACACTATCGTGTGATAGAAAGACCTTTTTAGGTACCTAGGTAATGAGCTGTAGCAGAAAGGGATTACTGGGAAAGAACAGCGGAACTACAGGGAGGACAAGGCAGTACCAATGTCTTTGCTCTTCATACCAGATGTGTTATGCTCAGGGTCGCGTGCGCCAAGGAATTCAATGTAAAAAGCGCACTTGCGGGGAGACGCAGCGTGAAAACACGCGAAGTCAAGTATCGCGTGTACGAAGAAGCGCGATATCAAGTACTGCGCATGTGAAAAAAATCGGTACGAAGAATTGTGCGTTCAAAGAAATGCGATGTGAGTAATACAAAAAGCGACGTGAAATGCGATGTTTATTTACGGGGAAACGCCTGTACAAAGAAGTAGTGTACAAGCTAACCCATTAGCAATGCATAAGCGGCGTGGGAGCTAATACCCTCGCTTACGAAAACCGTTTCCCGACCCCTTTGTAGCAAGAGCATGCGTGCGGGGGGGGGGGGACGTACGGGTGGGTCCGCATGCGTTGATCAAGCGTTCTGAAATACATGATGATGATTAGGTATGTAGCATATATCATTTTCCATCACCCTATAACACAGGGACAAGTCACCGGAGGGGATTCCTGAACGATCAAGATCACGCATGACTTGTATGCTCATTAGACTGGAATGGTTTCAAGTTTTTATATTATAATGCTTTATAGCATGTAAATGGAGCGTCATGCTTCGACACTTCGCTGACATAGCTGGCAAGCTGTGCCATAAAAATAATCCGACAGATCAGCTTCTTTGCTATCCCAAGTTATTCGCTAACGGTCGCACCGTATAAAAGCTATCCCAGACACAACTTGTAATGCAAGAATTTTGAAATCCAGTTATCCCGTGTGACACTAAGAACTCGCCTGTCACAAACAATCACGCCATCATAACTGATGTGCGATGACAATGATCATATCAAATGATCATAGCAATAAGCCGCGCCGTTTTCATGGGTATGGGCATCGCGTTTATCGCAAAACAGGATGATGCAACTCAGCATGCCGTCATGTAGCCAGCAAATGAAGCTGAATTATTGAACATTGATGTAATTCTTGCGGAGTGTAGCTTGCCAAGTGGCTGGCAAGCGTGTCGAGATACAGCGAATGCATTAGCAGAAAAAAATAAAACTGCGACCTTCCAGCAAAGAACGAACGAAACGTGTGAAGGTCCATATACTAGTATGGTATTTACGACCTACCCCCGTCCATTTCGTGCACCTAGAGCGCTTATTACCGTGAAGCGCTCTGAAGCCCCAATAGTTGACTTTATCGTACCCTTTGCCACATACCCAGATAGCGACCACAAACGCCACGTTTCCATACATTTTCCACGCGGGGCACCGGACAGTCGCACACCTTGCTGCGTCACACTTAATTCTCCGGCGCTTCTCGTGCACAGCACATTAGCTTTCAGGGGATTATGTCATCGTTTTTTTTACTTTTCACTTGTTGGTAGGTCAGATGTGTCCGATGTGATTGTAATGACAGTTTTCTAGAAACCGTTATGAATACCTCAGAGTTGCGTGTTGAAGTAGCCGCCCCGGCGGGAGAACTATAATTGGATATTCTGGTCATCACTGTGACAATAATTGTTTTCATTCGCTTTGCTTTTTTCAACGTGTGTGTTCTGTTATGTTTGAGAGACAGTAATTGGTCAAAGTGCTTGTGCAATAAGTGCTATGAAAGTTTGGTTGCGGTAAATATATCGCGCGCATTCAGCGAGGCGTCATACTATGGCTTCGAATTTTACCCGTTGACATTTATCAGGTTGACTCTTTTTGAACACACTTTGGCTTTTGGAAACAGACGTATCATATGATCTATAGTGACGCACTGGCTCTAACTTCAACTAGGGCACTTTGGTGCAGATGACCTCAGTCGCCCGCAATGCCAATTGCAAAGGTGAATTTGCACCGACGTCGTTCATACCAGTAGAGGTGTCTTTTTAAGCCCGCAGGCGGTCGCAGCCACCGCGACCCGCGATTTTAACCCGCGATGTGCGAGTTAAACATCCCATTTGGAGGGTTGTCTGAACTCACAGTGGACGAATCATTCCGCTTCGCACCTGATTTGCCTGTTCTGGGGAGCCGTCTTTTGATGACAACCACATCCCCATGGTTGGAGTAATCACCTCGCAGTGACTCGAAGAAGGCTAACTGTCGCCTTTCCTCTGGATAACGTGAGACAAAGATGGAGACACGCGCTAGCCAGGGGAACACTCTCTTTGCCCACCTTACAGACTGGCGCGTGGTCTGGTAATTCTGGACGGCTTAATTCAGCTGGCGGAATCCTTTCACGTGAATGCTACCTATAATGTACAACACACGTACCGCTTTTTTACCACTTCTCGGTTCCTTTTCGAAACCGCCGTGTCCGCTGTGTCATCATGCTTAGTGGAGATCATTGTGATGTTTTTTTTCCAGCACAGGGCCATGTCTTTCCGTTAGGAAACGGACGTTGCTCCCCTCTGTTCAGCCCACTGGGCCTCTCCATCATGCCTTTGAACTTACCACGGCTGCGGCGGAGTGTCCCACAAGTGCCGGTATTCAACCTACGCGGGATGCTGGTCAGCTGTACGCTATTGTGCAAGATGCCCACGTACAAGATGTGCTCCTTTTTCAAGTGGTTTTTCAGCACGTTAAATACTATGTCCTTCAACTAGATGCACTCGCCGCTGAACGTGTACCAATTTAAAAGATATCCGGTGTTTAAGTCTGGAAGAGTGTGCGCGCGTTTACCATACCTGACCGGTTTCATGAGATTTTATGTTTGTTGTTGTTTTTTGTCCGTTTGGCTATTTTGCACGTTTGCCATTTTGTTGCGCTTCTTTGCTATTTTGTCATGTCAGATATCATCTTGCAATTCTGTCACGTTGTTATAGTATTTTGTTGTTTTGCTGCTTTTTGGGTTTTGTTACGTCTTGAAGGCCAGCCTTCCCTGAAGCTGAATGATTGCCTCGTCTAAGCTCTACTACCGCTAGTGCCGTAAGGCCTCTCGGGCTAGGACCTCTGAGGCTCGATGTCGCGCTAAGCTCTCCGTGGTACAATACTAAAGGGAACATGGCAAAAGGCGGCGAAATCCGCAACTTGACCAGACATCACGGAAGAAAACGTATGTTGTTACGCCTTTGGAACGCATGCCAAACCCATGAAGCGGTCCATGGACAACCTATTTGAGTTATGACAACATTCATGGGATTTTTCAACATGATACATATTACAGCCCAGTGGAAGGGCAGGTAAGAGCTTTACAATTGCAGGACAACTATGTGATTAGCTGATTTAATTCGTAGTGATTGCTGAACTGTTCATTGATGGATGCAGCCGAACAGGAAAATTCCCAGCAACGGCATCCTTTACGCTCGTCTTGACGCTGTGCCAACAAAAACAGAGGAAATGTATTTATCCGACATAAATGAAACAGATGATCATGATGACATGACAGCTACATGATGATTGTATGATTACTATATGATGATTGCATGATTGTTACAGATTGTGCGGTGCTGTTCCGTGGTCATGTGAACACGCGCTATACGACTGGTTTGTTGACCAACGCGAACCCGACAACTTAAGTCTGAAGATATCTAAGACCAGGCTGTAGTATAGACCCTGAAGCTGAACGTCATACGTGCAGGGATCTATTGCATTGGCCAACGTGCCACATCACGACCTTTCCCGCCCGGGCCTTCCCCTTCTCCGCCTTCTCCGCCGACGACGCTCTTGGCCAAAAACCGCCGCGCGTCGCGGCCGTTCCCTGGCCACAAAAGATGGCCCAACCCTCCCCGTTGCCGCGGTTCCTCGGCCTGTGATTACGTCACGCGCGAAAGGAAGGATTAGTACAGGGACGGGCTCAGGCGGAGGCTCAGAGGGATTATGCAACTGGTTGCATGCATATACATATATATATATATATATATATATATATATATATATATGTTCTAGAAAGGCTGAACCCATTACCATGACATCACGGCATCCATTACCACGATATCACTCTTGATATGCTGAACTAATACAAGCCCTTGCGCTAGGGTGTCAATTTCGCACGTCCAGTTTGGCAGCCACTCTGGCGTCATGCAAACGTTTCATTACGCGGTGAAACGATGACGTATCAAGAAGCATATTTACTGAATAGTGAAAATGTTTTGTGTAGAGACAGTCTTTGCGTAGAGATAGTCTTTTGTGTAGAGATAGTCTTGATAGTTTTTTCAGCCTTGCCTTGACTTGATTACCTAGCCTGGAGTCGATCAGTACGTGTTTGAAAGTAATTCCGTCCATTCGCTGAAACATTTAGTCACTCAGTGGTGGAAAAGGAACAATGCAGACAAAAACCAAAAACCAAAACAAAGCGTTCGATCACTTCATCAGAACCTAGCCGACTTCCCAGCATTTGCTTCCTGGCGTTTGTCTTAATGGGTGATGGACCCAGGACTCTGCAATTGAAAGCAGGTCGTTGGACGTCATCACGATCGGGCGAATCTCTGCTTCCCAGGCCCGAGTCGCACGCAGTCAACATCGTAGGATCATACCACTATCACTTTTTTCAACTTTTAAGGTAATGTTCTCGTTGAAAATCAGTCCTTACAAGCGTGTTAAAAGTGTGAGCTTAAGCAAGACTCTCACCCCGAACGTAAATTACGACATATCAATACGAGCTATGTTCATGATGTGAGAGCTGATGACGTATAGGAGAGTGGTTCTGCTGGTACAATCTTGCCCATGCCTTTCCTTATTCTTTTTCACATGTCCATCATATCCCATGCCTGTGTGCCTGGTGAGATTCGTTGACAAACTGATCTAACACAGCTTCTCTGGCGCCTCCTAATGCTCCGCATGGTCGGTGCGCAAGACACAAGTGACAACATCCAAACATGTATTTTGTATTTGTACCCAACCATCAATCCAATGCAAAAGCACACAAACCCTTGCGCGCAGATATAAACAACTGCTGGCCATCCAAATGGGCACAAAACATGCATGCGAAGAACAGCCATCGTCACACTGTGCAAAAGTACTGTGAAACCCCGCAGCGGAGCAGTGACGCTGCATCGTGACAGTTCCACTGATGCACATTAGAAGGCCGCGCCGTCTGGCCAGCCAGGGGCATTTGCCAGTCGGACTGGCATTTCACACCAGCTGGCGTCGGTACAGTACGCAACGCCACTCGGCGATGGAACACGAAGCGGTGATCTCCGCGCGGGGTCGCGACGAGACGACCAGACCGCGGGAGAGCACAGCGGCGTGAACACCGCAGAACACAGCGGAGCACCCGTCTCTTCGCAGCCGGCTTCCGCAGCGCCGAGCGCTGCAGCCAGCCGGCCCTCTCTCGCTCGCTACCTCTACATGCATGTATTTATTTACACTATGTACAGGGCGACGGACGGGATGAGCCGCGGGTCGGCGCGACGCCTATCGGCCTGTGGACGACCTCGACCTGGGCGAGGTCGCCAAGACCTCCGGGCCGCGCCCGCCTCGGATCGGGCGCGCACACGCACTCTCACAATCGCACCGGCTCAGGCACGCTTGGCGGGGAGAGCAGCGGGGTTGAGCTCGCTCCCCGGTCCCCTCCCGGCCGCTGGCGCTCTTTCGCTCGCTCTCGGGCTCCCGGTCCGGACGTGCCGGCGGCGCCAGGGGCGTCGCCCCGACCCGCCCTGCGTCCGAGACCGCCCGCCGCCCGGCCGTCCGACCACGTGTTCATAGAACGTACGGTGGTGATTTATCATAGATAAATGGGATCAAAACATCGCCGGGTACATGGAGGGGAGCGCACGCGCCACCCGCGCGCGAGGCGCAGCAGGGCGGCGGAGGCTCAGCCCTCCCACGCGGCAACCTAACAGTACAACCTTAAGACTAACGTTGGCACAGTGTAGACAAGAAATTACCTTCCGGCTAACTGTAAACGTAGAAGCTAGCAGGATCGGGAGCTGGACCGGCCACGCTCAACCGACCGTCCTACGACTTAATTCTAACATGATGGGTGCGACGATGCTTACTCTATACATGCCTTGAACGGCATACACGGAATTTTGCGGGTAACTCCCACAAAACGGACGTTGAGGTGTGCTGGACAACGCGAGGCCTTACCGCCTCACCAGCATTAGCACCTGGGACCTAGAGACTGTACGGGTGACAGAACTGGTAGACAAGCCGCTGGCTCCTCTCGGTCTTCTTCATCATGCCCTTCTTGTAGTACTGCCGGATGGAGCGGCTGAGCTTGTCGTAGTTCATGGCCGGCCGGTTCTTGCGCTTGCCCCAGAGCTTCGCCACCCGCACAGAGTCCTCGATCTTGAAGATGCCGGCCTGCCGGTCGATCCAGCGGATGGACGAGCCGTACAGCTGGGGGTGCGTCAGCAGCTCCTTCAGGAACTGCCACAGGTGGATGTGAGAGCCGCTGCGCACCGGCGTTGACTTGTCGTCCTCGTCTGCAACAGGCGGGATGGCTCGGTCAGGCGGGGGTGGGCATAGCCACCGTATGGCTATTCCAGTGCTGCAGCGCCACAACGCTCTGTGGATAACCGCTCCAGCGCAGCGAAACCAGCGCTGCCCGGCTCGGCGCAGCGCTGCCCAGCTCGGTGCAGCGCCACCGACGGCCGACCGTGCGGAGTACTGGCGCAGTTAGCGCATTCCTACAGCGGAAAATCGTCCTCAGTGGCGATTAAACCGCAGATCCCGGCGTATAAAACGATTACTTTTACGGATGGCTATCAGCAGCGGGGTTGTTCATGCATTTTGGAGCAGAGCCCCGTGATTGGTTCCCCTGGATTCGCCGTCGTTCGGTTGTGGTATCCCGCGCGCATGCGCGGCGGACGGCGACGGCCGTACCTGGCCCGGGCAAAGCGCCGGCGCCACTCTACAGTTCATAGAAAGTGCACCATGTGGGTCGGGGCCGGCGGGCGCCTGTTTTTTACCGGCCCGCACCCCGGCCGGGTGTGGGAGAGGAAAAACTGGGCGCTGGCATCACGTCATTGCCATACGCGACACGCCGCAGGCTTCCGAGGCTCGCCGCCGATACGCTTCGGCGCAGATAGCGTATCAGCACGCATCCCATTTTCGCCGTTCGCGGCGCGGCGCCGACGGCGGCGGCGAGGCCGGCCCAGCTCCGCGTGACTCCGCCGGCCCGGCTCGCCCGCTGCGCAGCGCGGAGCCTGACCTCGGCCGGCCGCCGGTTCAAGAGTGGCGCCGCTCGATACGCCGCCGGCCAGTGACGTCAGCCGCTATCAGTCGGCTGCCATGGCAGCGCTACAGGTGCCCCCCCCTCCGCCGGCGCGCCCGCCCCGGCCGATAGCCCCGCATGGCGGCGCGCAACACGCCGGTCGCCTGTATGTCGGCGCCCGTACCGCGCGAGGTTGGTAACGTCGCCATTGCTGGCCGCGACCGGCTGTATGTCGGCGCCCGTACCGCGCGAGGCTAGTAACGTCGCCATTGCTGGTCGCGACTGGCGCCAACGAGATGGATGCGGCGGGGGTGAAGCCCAGACCTTCTGATCCGAACAACAACGCCGGCGCCGCCGGCGCCCTGTACCCAGCCGCGCCGCCCTATCGTCACCGGTGTTCCCTAAACCCACGGCCGCTGGCGTCGGTCGGCGCGCGCGACAAGACGCGCTGTCGACGCCCGACATCCTTCCCGACAGGCCGCGCCGCCGGCGCTGACGTCCGTCTGAACTTCGGCGCCCGGCGTCTGACGCCGCTCGCCGCCGAGTTTGCCACCAGCGCCGACACCACTCGCAAGCCCGTGCGGAGTTCGCAGGAGCGGTGGGCGGCCGACCGCGTCGGGCCGCTCGCCGTCCGCCGCCGGTCGAGGCGGTCACGTATACAGCGAAAGGCTGCGTGCCTCCACCCGCCCGGTTCGGCATGCTGCGGCATTCACTCGTGCTGTGTCATCACGGTGACGACCTCCCCGTGTCCCGCCAGATTCACGCTAATGCCGCGGGTCCCATCCCAACTCGCTCCATGACGTCAGGAGCCGCGCGCTGTGCCATCACCGCCCGTCCCGCACTGTAGCGCCCGCCCCGTACTGAGCCGCCCGTCCCGTGCTGTGCCGCCCGTACCCTACTGAGCCGCCCGTCCCACGCTGTGCCGCCCGTCCCGTGCTGTGCCGCCCGTCCCGCTCTGTGCCGGTGCTCACCGTCCGAGTCGGGTGCGTCTCCGCTGTCGGCCGCCGCGTCTCCAGCCATGTCGAGCGGCTCCTGTTTGACGGGCCAGGGCAGCGGGCCGGGCCGACGGTGGTCGGCGCGCCATACCTCCAGCTGCGCCAGCAGCGTCTCACCGCACTGCCGAAGGGGGGAGGGGGGTTAGAGATCGCCTGCCATCCGCCCACAGGTGTGCAGTGCACGCACGGCATCAAACCGCAGCCCCCTCCCCCTTGCAATGTGCATGTGGCGTTAGTCTCCCAAGGCTAACGGGCGGCGACCGGCGGGATTTCCAGCCGCCGCCGGCGGGCTGAGGGGAGGGGGAGGGGGAGGGGAGTGGCACCGACTGGTTCTGGCCGCCCACATACCTGCGGCGCGTACATGCTGAACTGCTGCTCGGACAGCGAGCACAGGGTCTGGCCATCGACGGTCAGCCAGTCCAGCGGCGGCGGCGGCAGGCGGAACTGCTGGCACGTGTAAGCGACCCAGGCGCGCACCTGCTCCACCGTCCACTGGGAGGGGTCTGCAACAGAAGAGGAGGGAAGTCAGGCTACTGCGCCACCCACCAAGGCTGGCGGACTCCACAGAAAGTACGACGAGCGTGTATGCGGTGAACTGAGCACGGTGAATGACGATAGATTGGCAATGCTACTGGACTGATATGCTTGTGGCGCCCCAGCTGCCACCACCATCGCCCGCGTCCCAGCCGCTGAGACCGAACCAATCGCGACTGGATGTCTGAGCCCCCGCGGCAGGCCCCGGGGCTCCCCGCACCCACGACCCAGCCGCATGCAACCAGAGCTGTAAAGAAGACAGCTCGTGGGCCGGGTAACGGGCTGAGCCGCCCCCGTGCCTCTGACGTCAGCGGGTAGCTTGGGAACCTCACGTTCGTGCATGTGGTTTCCGGACGGGGGCTTCTGGGTGCTGGCCCGCCCAGCAGCGCCACCGGCGCCCGCCCGTCTCAGGGGGAAGGGGAGGGGGCGGGCGGCGGGCCAAGTCGGCCCAGGGTGCGGCACGGCGGCGCGGTGAGCCGCTCCAAGGTCAGCGACTGTGCCGGGCCAGCTCGCAGCCGCCGCCATCGCCGCCGCCGCTGCGCAGTTGCCTGATGGGCCGAGGCGGCCGCCCGGCACGCGATCTGACCGGGGCCCCGCGGGGCCCGCGGCGGGGAGCCTGGCGAGCAGGCCCGCGGCAGACGGCTGGCGAGGGCCCCGCCCGTGACAGCGGGCCGCGGCAGAGGTGAAGAGACCCGTGCGTGGCGCGGCCCGCGGCGGAGATGAGGGACCCACATGTGACACGGCCCGCGGCAGAGATGGGGGCCCCGCAAGTGACACGGCCCGCGGCGGAGGTGAGGGGACCCTGCACATGACCGACCGCGGGGGTGAGGGGGGGGCGCACGTGACAGGCCGCGGGGGGTGAGGGGCCCCGCCCGTGCAGTGTTGCAGCCGGACGTGACTAAGCCACGACGGCAGCCGGCCGTTCGTGGTACAACTGAGCTGCAAGCCTGCAGGTCGGCATCGGGGCAGGTCCCCCGCTGAGTCACGCGGCACGCAAACGCCCTGCGGCCCAGCGCTGGGCAGGGCGGCGGGGGCCCCACTACCCATGACTTGCAAGCTGGCGGCGGCCGACGAGGAAAACCCGGAGCGGCCAGCACGCAGGGAGCGGACACCTCAAGGTCGGGACCGGTACCAGTTACGGCCAGATCAGCGGCGTTATATAAGCAATTCAGGGGCAGAATGGTAGGCTTCGGTGTTTGTAAATGAGAAGATAAGTGGCCTACCCGAGCAGCGCAATGCCAGTGTGGACGGCATGATAAGGCTTGTGACGACACAAATCTAGACACGAGCGTATTTCGCCGGTACATGCAGGGATATGGGTCTCGGCCCTCCTGCATCGCTAGGCATGCACGACGGTTGCCGGTGTACGGGGAGCAGTGCCACACTCACCTGGTGGGATGCCCAGCAGCATGCAGACGTTCTTCTTCTCCTGGCGCATCTGCTCGAGCGCCAGGTCCAGCACGGGCGCCAGCTGGTCGAGCATCCAGCCGTTGCCGGGCTGCGCGCCGCCCTCGCTGCCGAGTAGGTCCAGGCCGAGGGCGGGCATGTTGAGGCGGCGCGGCAGGGCGGCGCCGCGCAGACACTGGCGCAGCGTCTGGTGGTCCTGCGCCGGCGGGCTGCACGGCGGGCAGCCGGCGCCGTAGCTGGCCGGCGGGCTCGCCGGGTGGCAGCCGTAGCCGGGCGGCGGGCTGGCCGCGTGGTGGAAGCCGCCGTGGAAGGGCGGCGGCGGGCTGTCCGGCTGAGAGCTAGGCGAGCAACCCTGCGAAGAGTAGCCGCCGTCGCTGAAGGGCGAGCGCGGTGTGCGGCCGCCGTCGTCCGACATGTCGGCCAGACTGAGGCAGCTGTCGGCCGGGCCGAACTCCTGCTTGATGCGGCCGCCGACCGCGGCCAGGTCCATCTCCTGCTTGACCAGGTGGGCCGGCGAGGCCGACTCGCCGCGGCAGTCCCAGTCGCCGTCGGCCGACTCGCGCGGCGGCGAGCCGAACAGGTGCGGCGGCGAGCGCTCGTACGTCGGCAGGCTGCTCGGCGACGGCACCTGGTAGTCGCTCAGGATGGAGAAGTCGAGCTCGGCCAAGCTGCTGGCCAGCTCCGGACCGCAGTCGTAGTTGGGCACCGTCTGGGACATCTGCAAGGGGGCCGCTGCTCAGACCAGCGCCTAGCGAAGGCCGCGCACGAGCCGCCGGCGCGGCCGGTCCGGAGGGAGCGGGAGAGGGCTCTCGGGAGTCCCCCGCCGGCCGGCCGCGCCGCAAACGGACCCAGGCGGGTGGTGGTTCCTCCCTCGTGCTCGAGCTCTTCAACCGCCCCCGGCCCTCCCAACAAAGGTGGGGAAGTCGCTTCTACACAGTACCCTCAGTACCCGCAGTCTGAGGTTCGGGTTGGATGGTCTGGTTCAACGGAAACGAACTCTACCCGCCATCGATATTTCAGACGCGTAATATCACCATTCTTAAAAATAATACTGACCTTCAATATGCATTTCGGACCTAGTATGTTCAAACTCCACTCCTTGAACGGGATAAAGCTGATGGACTGCATCGTTACACAGCCATTGCTACACTATATGAGGGTTGTAGTTCTTTATTCAGTTGGATGTTCCAACTCCTCCCCCCCACGACTTGACCTCGAACCCCCAAACTTAAGGAAGAAAATGGGTCAAATCTGGGGAGAAACCTATTTCTTGGCATATTTTGGAGATAAGTTGTACCCTTTTCACTTTTCAGCATGCAACTCATTTTGTGAAACTACGCCCTTGCACTATATCATACCTTTATAACGAAATAGGTGTAATCTCAAAGGTTCAGCCATCGGACGTTATTTCACTTTATCAACCGAGTGCGGTATGCCACCGCTGTTTGACAACCGTTATCACAAAACTGGCCCAAACCGTATACGTTGCGGGTGTGCCGCCTCGTTATCACTCGTGAGGGGCTGGCTGTAAAAATTCGGACCGATGCGCGATGTGGAAATGACATTGAAAATCCAGCTGAGATATGCGTCGGGCAACTGCGTACATACGGAGATCCGATGTGATCCGATCCGATTCTGATCCGATCCAATCCGATCCGATCCGATACGATCCGGTCCGATCCGACCGACCGGAAATTAAGCCTTCCAACCATGACTTTCTGATTTTCGTACATAGCTATGGTATACGGGCCCAGGAACATTCCTAACCCCTCCCCATCAGACCTATTCGTGTAGTCCTGTCAACTCGTTCGTCTTTAGGATTAAACGAAATAAAACCAAAGATTCGTGCAATGCATCACGACCAACAACTATCCATCAAACATAATCTGGCTCTAGCGACTTATTTCGTCTTCGCACAGCGACTGCTTTATCTATCGGGAAGAACCCTTCGGCGGCCGCTTTAGACCATCAAGTAGTAAGACGTTATTTTAACTGCGCTTCACTTGCAACCGATGGGATAAACGTGCCTCCGGATAAACGAAGGCGCAGTTCCGACGCCACGGGCTGTTCAGACATTTACACCTTGATCATTTCAAACAACACAGTCACAGGTCTCGTGGACTATCTTCAATGTGGAACGACAACACGTGAATCTTCATGAACACCAAAACAGCGAAACGCGCATCCATGCTCACACTCCACAGGCACGGCGGACAACAGACGGCGGGCCTGCAGGCGCCACCTACCATTCTGAAGCAAGTCGCGACACGACGAGACGTCGGAGACGGGGCTGAAGACTGCTGCCTGCCGCTGGACCGCCCCGAAGGATCTGCCTCACTGAACTGACGGTAGCCGGGCGGCCGGCGATACCCTGGGCGCCGCGGGGCCGCGGGCGGAGCCAACCGGCCGCGCAGGCGCAGACGGGAGAGAGCCACCAGAGCTGGCCGGCGGCCGCTGCTACTGCGTCGTAGCGAGCTGAGCGGAGGTTGGAGGGCGGAGTGATGGGGCTCCCCTGGCAGAGCCGGCGCAGCTTCGCTGGACGCGCAGCCCGGAAGCGAGGTTGTCTAAGGCAGAGTACCTGGAAGCAGCTCTCCAGCGCCCATCCCTAGCAGTAGAAAATTTTTAGCGACACAGACGAATTTTAAATCTCAGCGTGATTGGGCCCGCCCAGTCCGCCGCGACGCTTGCGGCATCCTCTTCTGATGTGCCGTAGACTGGGACTCCACCTCCCGCCCACACGCATGACTCGCTCGTTGTGTGTTGCCCCGCTTGTTTTACCAAAGCGACTTTTTCACACCACAAGCATCTTGGGCTCCGTGGAACGGTGGGCGACAAGCACCCTGGCACGCGTACGTTACGTGCAGAGAAATGAGCTTCCAAGCGCTAGGCTTCATGCCGATACTATCGCAGGGCAAACAAACGGCTACGGCCTTTAAAGGGAATGTTCAGACACGGCAAGGCTTGACCCCACGAGTCTAGGATAGAAGAAACCCACGATCTTTAGACAGCTTTCAGGCTCAATCAACGCATAACAGAACCGCCATGTGCGCAGACGAGTGCCAACTGACTGCTCCGTTATATAATGTGACTCATGCAGTGTAATGCTGGTGAGTCCACCACTGTTGCGTCAGCTTTCCGAAGCTCTGCGTTGAGGTCGAAGCTATGAGAAAATGTCCGCGCAACGGGAATATGATCGGGAATAAGGACGAATCAGAGCCCGGGACGTCAAACGGAATACGGGTGCAATAATACGGGGTGCAATCCAACCTGTTTTAACGCAACAAAACCTTCAGTGCAAATGATCAACGCGACATCCTTCTAAGCGACCAGACCGCTGACGCAAAATAATTACACGCTCTATGGCTTTGAATACAGAAACTTGTAGCGCTTAGACCTCAGTGCACTAGAGCTTCCGACGAGAAAAAAGTCTCACGTGACAAAGCCGCCACGCGACGAAACGTCCAACACAATACGACACTGCTCCCCACTTTGAATGTCATTGTCCGGGTTTTTAAGTACTGAGATCCTGAGATTCAAAAATGACGATTCCTGCACATCTTGGCGTTCTGGTCTGTATATCACCTATGGACACTTCTTTAACATTGGCCTGCAATATACTTACAGTGATAAGGTACATATGCATTATATACGTCCATGCATCCAATAACCCGAAACACAGGTGCACGTACATCGAAGGAACGCAGTTCAAATGCAATGCAAACATATGTTTGAATTTAAATACATACCCATACCCAGTCGTATGGCGCAGATGGCATGTGATTGCATCACATGAGCTGCTGAATTGGGAAACGTTCCCCAGCCAGCAGCTAAGCCGGCTTTTCTCCCCGCCTCTGATCGAGTCCAGTTCCTTAGCACTTGATCGACCGTTAAGTCGGTGTTCAGGGATTAATTGGCGAATGCAAGATACGAACCCCTGGCAACGGACCGGTCCGACCGATCAATTTCGATTTGATCATCTGTTGGTTGCCGTGCTACAGGCTAAGAATGATCAGTTCCTTGCGCTGGCGAGGATACCATGCTGATCAGTTTCCGATCTACATGCTGTAAATTCTGGTTAAACTGTGTGCAAACGGGCACGCCTATGGTTTCCACAACGTTGGCGACCTTCTGAAAGTCAACCAAGGTCATTAATTTAAGGTGACTCCAGATGACCCTTCTTGTCCTCGAGCTATATCGAGGGTATTTTGAGATGATAGTCCCGAATTTGGACGTATATTTTTCACCATCCCAACACGTTCAGCTTCGTTCATGTCTGCCAGATGGCATTGCCATGTTACCTCAAAATGTGGTGTGATTTGAAATGTCTTGGTATAAGTAATTGACTTTGAAAGAATTGAATTGGACAAAATTGAAATTGAGAAAGGGGTGCCGGTAATATAGTGGTTAATGCGTCCTGCGTTGGCTACTGCGCATCTGGGAAACCAGAGGTACGGGGTTCGATTCCCCGTGGTACACGCCCTTCCTGCCAGCGTGAGAGGCAGGCGACGCAACATAGCCTCAGCAGCTGAGTGCGTCGTAAAGCCCCAAAGACACACATAAGTAATTGACTGTAAGTGATATTCAAGGATAGTATCATAGTTGCAAAGTTACTGGAAACAGCACGGCATGCGCCACAATATCTTGCAATGGTAACGGTTAAGGCTGATGATGCAAATAGTTAAAATAGATCATAGGGGTAGCTGACAGGGTTTGGTGCAAGCTACCCTCATCACTTATAGTTGGAAAATTTCTGTGGTGGTCTTCTCTCTCATATGGAAGTCAATAGCTGTAATAATCAGAATTCTAGGTTCAGAGCTCTTCACCTGTACACAAATATGTTATCATCAATACCACGGTTGCTTGGAACATCGCGTAAATGTCCTTGCATTATAGTCTTGACACCTGAAAGTTTCTGCACCATAAACGCTTGCATTAGAAGTGATGTTGGGCTGAAAACTTTGTTTTCTGAGCTTCTTCTCACAAAACTGCTTGTGTTGTAGGATTTCTCGTGGAGTAGTTTATGCATTGACAGTCCTTGTGATAGCAACTTTGACGCGGTAAAGTTTTATGTTGGAAGTTTTGCCACGTAGAAGTGATGTTGCGCAGACGTATCCGTCTTAGAGGTCGTGTTTCTGAAGTTTAGTCGTTAGCAGCACTTGTCTTGGAAGTCCTGTTACAGCACTGGGATTCATTGGGCCTGCCGAAAACTTCTGAACTGAATGTAAAAAAATTAGCGATCAGACACTCGTGATTCATTTGACATTTTCTTTTGTCTGTATTGGCCCAGCTTTCTAACTGTTTGCGTTGGCACGGGCCCCGTGGGTGGTACGGAGGTCAGTGTACCACATGGTGGTATTTCCATTATAGCACCGCTTCATCCCAGAACGTCAAGACCCAACAACGCAAAAGTGGTTTAGTATCAGGCCTGCAGGGCTTGTTAAAGCTCAAATGTGGTTTAAAGGTGCCAAATCGTCAGCTCTTTTAAGAAAAGTCGTCTTTTAAAGCTTTTTAGGCAGACTTAATCCTTGTCTGTTAAAACACAAGCAATATCGCAACTCCTTTTTGGTTGGCCCACACCGTTCAACCCCATTTTCATGCGGTGGTTCACCGTGCGAGTGGGAGAGGGACTCGGCCTATCCTAGATTTTGGAGTCTGTCGCATCCATGCTGACAGGACGAGATATCAAGTCCAAAGCGTCTGGCCTAATTCAGCTGCTCCGTTTGGTCAGAAAATGTTGGTGGCGCGCTCATCTGGCACAAGAGTGCTTTTTGTGTGCAAGCTGGCACTGGCACAAGAGTGCAAGTGGTAGATATAAGCTTTTCACAGCATAGTTTTGTGCGAGGATTGGGACAAAGTTTTAGTATCATCGATGAAATCATTGTAAAAACTTACGAGTTCAAAGTTTTTGTGTGGGGTTAAGGGCCTACAATGCTGGAAGTGCTGGTTAATAGTGCTAAATAGTGAGTCCCGTCAATGAAATAACGGTTTAGCACTACACCGTCCTGTAACCAGCACCTCCTAGTATGTTGAAGGTCGTCAACTCAACAGAAGAACTTTGAATTCATAATCCCGCAAAACCAGGAGTTAGAGACCTTTCTTTCTTGTGTCGGCTGCTCGGACTATCGTCCTCATCTGGTGTGTTATTATGGACACGACGTGTCGGCCAGTTAAATCTCCGGCGATTGTCAAGTGTCTTAAGTCCTGAGACCGGCTTAGCTTTCAGCCGCGCACGCATCACACCTCAACATCTCCTTGGAAGCCCTGTCATGCCCCGTCCAAACAATGCATTCAGATGTCCCGCACTCATGCTTTTCGATGGTTGGGCTTTGGTGAGCCCACGGAAACAACACACGAAATATTTGATGCAGAAACCTCAAAAGGGGTTAACAGAAATGTGCTACTGAGGAAAACATTACCATGTAGATCGGTAAATCGAATCGCTTGTCGCTCTTCAGCAGGTTGCGATACTTCAATCTGTCACTCGAGATTACTGCAGATCGCTAGTGCATGCAGGGCGTGCAGAAGCCGGGTGCAACGCATGCTCATTATTTATGGCATGATGAACACGCACACACACACACACACACACACACACACACACACACACACACACACACGCACACATCTATATATATATATATATATATATATACATATACATATACATATACATATATATATATATATATATATATATATATATATATATATATATATATTGCATGATAGGGAACCAAGGTGGTCAAATGTCGGTTCTAGTTATGCATAACACTTTGCCTGTGACTGCCTCTGAAAAATGCGATTTGTCCCAAGATGGCGTCTCCACAAATACCACTCGGACGCGTCCGTGGGTAGACTAAGGGCCAAAGACTTTGTCAGAGTGCGCCGAGTTGATGCCCAGGGACACTAGCTTAACGTAAATCTTGTAACTGAGAGGTTTATTGATGGCATCGCGACAACACTGGGTGTCGATTCGAGCTCCGTATGCAAATAGTGTCAACAGATAAACTACAAAAGCGTTCATTTAAGGACCAAGATCGGAAAACAAAAGGTAAACTCCAGTACAATTGAGGAGACATGATTTCCATGTGCCCAGTGGCAACATCAACACCCTAATGCTGAAGAGACAATGAGACAAAGAAAGTAGCCAAAAGGAGTGTACGAGATGTGCTAGGCAAGAACCGAACCCAAGACAATGCTGCTGTGATCGGGTTATTCATGGCTGTCACACAGATGCTGCTAATTGTGATGGCAGTGGCCAGAAGGACCTCAAAATAGTTACCAACCCATGCCATGTGGGGTGTTGCTGGGGCATGCTCTCTGAAGCGTGCG